TACCACTGAGCTACAAAGCCAGCCCTGACCCCTTTATTTTTGAGAGTGGGTCTCGCTAAATTGTGTAGGGCCTCACTAAAATGCTAAGATTGACTTCCAATTTGCGATCCTCCTGCTTCAACCTCCTGAGTCAATGGGATTACAGGCGGGCGCTGCCACGCCTGACCTGCAATAATCTTGACCAAAAGTAACATTCTCTGTTTTACCTCGTTAAGTACTGCAGAGGTAATGAAAATATAGAAGCTAGATCCAAAAATGAGGAAGAAAACGAGAAGTGAACAGGCTGAGAAAAGGAGGAAAATCTGGAAAAGGAAAGTGGACCCAAATTAGACCGGAAAAGAAAAAGGGAGACCGGGATTGTGGCGCAGTGGTAGAGCGCTTGCCTAGCATGCATAAGGCACTGGGTTCGATCCCTGGCACCACATAAAAATAAACAAATAAAATGAAAGTATTGTGTCCATCTACAATTTAAAAATATATTTAAAAAGAAAAGAAAAAGGGAATGTGAGAGAGAAGGCATTATCGTCAAAAGCAACCTACCGACTTCTACGTTGCCCAGAATAGATCAGCAAATCAGATTCCTGGCCTCTAACATGTTACTCAATTCTATAACCAATTGTCCACGACTTCCCAGCGACTCCATTCATAACCTAGTCTCCATTGGTTGGAACAGCCTCAGAAGACCCGTGATGGAATATTGCGGACTGCTGTGTTGAACTCAAAGGAGGCCTAATTCCCCTTGACTTTCGGGGGATTCAAGAGTCCCTGCATTATTGCCTATAAGCTCGTGTTTTCCCCAACTCTCCAACTCCCCACTTATTTGATTTTCATAGTGCTGGGCAGTCTGCAGGGATTCGATAGACAGTGGGGAATGGGACAGGGGCTGGGATTTTGCGTCCCTAGAGCAAGAAGGCTCCAATATGCTGGAAGTTGAAGTTGGGCTAGAAGGGAAGGGTGCCCTAGGAGAACCAGTCCTGGGGACTATTGGCGGTACCCTGATCCCCAAAGGTGTCAGAGAAGACGGTGAGTGGCAGTTACCGTGGCAACACTCGCGGTCTCGCGAGACAGATGTTGCATCTGCGCACTGCAGCTTAGAGCGCTGTAGAACCTTCACCCCGGGTCTTATATTCAGGACTTTTTTGTGTGTGTGTTTGTTTTAAACGATGGAGCCTTATTCTGACGTTTCCTCGCGACACTGTTGGGAGCGACCAAACGCAAGGTAACGAAACTTGAAGAGCTCCAAGCTATGTCGCGCCATTCACTGCTCCCGGAAGGCGGGGCGGGGAAGGCAAGGACACTGCGCACGCGCGGCGCAGGCGCAGTGGGGCCGGCGCTGTGGCTGGCTGCTGGTGTGGAGTCGCGGTGGTGAGGCGGAGGAGCAGGCAGACGCCGGAAGAAGGTACCCTTCCGGGTGGGAGCGGGCCCAGGGCGCTACCGGAGCCCAAAGTCTGGGAGCACGCAAGGTCCCCGCGGCTTCCAGATGCCTCTTGCGCCGCCGCTGGACCGCGGACTGTAGGGAGGGGTTAACTCCGGGCCAGGAATGCTTCCGCAACCGGCGTCCTCCTCCAGAAACCCGGAGTTCGCGAGTCTTCACCCTTGGGTCCTTACCTACTTTTCTTAGCATCTCTGCCCAGCGACCCTGAAGTTTTTAGTTTTCTTTAATTCTTCCCCCGGGACACTGTTGTGTTTCATATTCCTTTTGATAGGAATTCATCAGAGGTAGTTAAAAAAAAAAAAAAGTCACTTCCTGTAGGAAGCCTTCCTCTCCTAACCCCCGCTCAACTAGGTTAGGTCTCTGCTCAGCGTCCCTTGGCATCCTGTAGTTACCTGACCTTAAAGCGTGCACCACATTACATTGCTTTATTCTCCGCCCGTAGGGCTTGTAAACTCTAGCTCCTAGAGGCCAGTGACTGTTTTTGCTTGGTGCTTCATAGGGAATCCGCAAATACTTAACTATGAAGGTGGTCGTGGGTCTGAGAGTGGGAGTGGTTATTCCAGGCTAAGAGAATGTGTGTAAAGACATGTTGATGAGAAACTGGTAGCCTCCTGGGGGTGATATGCAGGGTGTGGGGTAAAAAGAAAGGATAGTGGAAAGCAGGGCCGGCATGTGGAGGGTTCAGGGCCCTGTATATCACCCTAAAGTTGCACTTGATCCTGTAGGCAGTGAACGACGCACCTTCACCCTTCCTGTTTTGCACCCTTTCTCTGAAGGTTTTTGTTGCTTTTAGTTACAATTTGCGTATCTAAACTACTTTTCATCTCCCCCTACCAGATTCTGCAGACCAGGGAAGGTACTGCCTATTTTGCTATCAGAGTAATTAATTGTAAGTATTTATTCTGTGCTGTTTGGACCCTGGGACCCAATAACTGTCGTATTGGTTAAGCGAAACCTCTGTTAGATGATACTTATATTGCTCCTCATTTGTTTCCCTATTCCTGACCACTTCCACCTTGATGTCTTATGCTAGCCGTCACTTCATTGGATTTAGATGAGCTACTTTTATTACTGAGCTTGGGAGAATAGATATGACAGATGGGAGAAGGCAGCAGATATCTCCAGCATTGGGAATACAGACATGACCAAAGTTTTCTGTCAAAATTCCCAGGAATTTTGCTTTCTGGGGAAAGGTGATTTGTAATATTAGAGACCAGGAGACATGAGTGGACCATTTCTCAGTCCTGTCCAGTATATAAAGACCACCTTACCCACACCTGATTTCTTAATTTTGGTGCTGTATCGGATTCACTTGGCAGCAGACTTTTTTTTTTTTAAATACAAGCCTAGATTTCTTGGCAGTACTCTCCAATTCAGTTGATTTGAGGTGAGAACCAACCGTGTAGGTTTTTTTTTTTAAAGCCACAGGTTATATTTGAAGTGCAGGCAGGATTATAAGAGTAAAAAAAGTAGTTGTGACTTTGGGTACTGAATCTGTTTCCTTGTCCACACATTGGGGAATTATAGTAATGCTATAATAATCAGATAGTACATGGGAGAAAGTACTTTATACACTGGTATACTCTATTGCTGGTCTTGTGTGTTGAACTTTATTTGGAAGGGATTTCACTTCTTTTAGTTTTGCCAGGTGGGTCCCTGTCTTTCTCACTGAGCTTCAGAAAGGGAAGGAAGAACATTGAGGAAGAGAAAGGAATGTACAGTTGCCTCTGGGAAGAATTACAGGATATGCTCCCTAGACCTGTGGTTTATAGCATATCCTTAATAATTAATAAACCTTTCTATTTCTCCTTAGTGGATTGGGATTTTTAAATCTTACTACGTTTCCCTAGTTTTCATGGAACTGCCAGCCATAGTAGTCAGCTTGTAATAAGCGTGGGCAGGAGTATAGGTCTGCATATGTATCAAATGTTTAGGAAAGATATAAGGAAATCTAGGGGCCAGGGTGGGAGGGAAACTTATAAAAGGGGACAGAATGAAAATATTGTTTTAAGTTTTAGTTGTATGCTGGTTAATTATGAATCACAGAGGCTTCTGGGGCCTTTACAGATGTGGAACTATGTTCAGGACACAGATCTCAGTCACCATGAGCCCCAGGGCCTATAATAGCACATGCACATTAGAGATGCTCAGTGAATATATGCTGTGAGAGTAAATGAAAGTAAACCCAACTAAAGAGTAATGTATGAAATGCTAACAAATCTATAAAACTATCATATAGTTATGAAAAGGGTAATTATGAACAAAAAGAAACATTTTTAAATAAATGAATTAACAGTGGGATTTCACTGTAATTGCAGTGATGTAAAATAGTCCCATATTGTCTGTATATGAAGAAAGACAAGGTCACCTGAAAAAAATGGGGAAAAGGTGGGACCTATCTACTTAATACTTGCTATAGCTTATCAAGAATTAGAGAAAATATAACCAAGATAGTCTCAAGACAGGCTTTCCTAGCTGACATGAATGTTCCACTGTCATTGTTTTTCTATGAAGGATTTTCAAAATGCCTGCAGCCCCTCAAGCACCTTCCAGAGGATCCATTCGCAAGACCAGACCTCTGGTTGTAAAGACGTCCTTGAACAACCCCTATGCTGTCTGTTGGAGCACACTGGAGAGGGAGGACATGCACTTCATTTTACAGACAATTGAGCAGAAGTTTAAATCTATTGGACTTCGGAAAATCGAGGACAAGAAAAAAAGGAAAAAAACGCCTTTTATAAAAAAGCACAAGGTAGAAAGATGCAGCCTAGGTGTTGATACTAGTGAGGATCTGAAGAATAGGCCAGAAGCTAACCAGCAGGTGTCAGGGTGGACGCCTGTGCAGATCAGGAAGCAGCTTGCCATAGGTGTTAATGAAGTCACCAGAGCTCTGGAAAGGAGTGAACTGCTCTTGGTTCTGGTATGTAAGTCAGTCAAGCCTGCCATCATCACCTCACACTTGATTCAGTTAAGTGTAAGCAGAGTTGTTCCTGCCTGTCAGGTTCCCTGCCTCAGTGCGACACTAGCCCCTGTCATTGGCTTAAAATGTGTGCTAGCATTGGGATTCAAAAAAGACACCACTGACTTTGTAGATGAAGTAAGAGCTATCATTCCCAGAGTGCCCAGTTTAACTGTGCCATGGCTTCAGGACAGAATTGAAAATATTGGAGACAATTTAGAAACTGAATCTTTGGGAATCCAAGACAAAGAGACTTTGGAAACTTCATTTGAAGACCTCTCAAAGCACAAGAGAAAACTTGAAGGTCAGCAGGTCTCTGTAGCATTACAGCCTCTTAAAATAAAGAAATTGATTCCCAACCCTAATAAGATAAGGAAACCACCCAAAAGTAAAAAAAATACTTCGAAGTAATCTTGTATAAACTTTTCATGCAATTGATAAAAGGACACCTTGTATAAAGAAGGCTTGAAACAAATAAAATGAAATATATTTATGTATATTGGGATCCTGTGTAATGTTTCCTTCAAGTATGTATGAATGTTTGAAGCTATAGCACAAACATGCTGAAGCCTAAAAACATTTAAGTGCAGAAAATAATCAAAAATATGAATATGAAAACAAAAGTTTATTGAAACTAATGTCCATGCTTGTATAAATTCACTGTTTTAAAGGCTGGTACAATGCTTGTTAGCAAGAACATCTGTAGCCTACAACACCTAACATTTTCCCATCAAACTTGGAAAATGTGCCACAGTAGACATGGTTCTAATAAGTACGGTCAATGAAACTAGATTGGGAGCATTGAGTTTCAAAGGAAAAATACCAAATGCCTTGCAATACTTTGTCTTTAGAAGGAATATATTTTTTTACTTCATGTCAGTTTGGCTTTCCTTGTAGGCAGGCATAAACATCTGCTTGGGATGAAGGCCCAATGGGATAGAAGTAAGCCAGATAAAGTATTTTAATTAGGATTCATTTTCCTGTGTATTGTTAACTTACTTGGAAATTAACATGTATAAAAAGTATGACGGGAGTTGTAGGGGCATAGCTCAGTGGTAGACCCCCAAATTTAATCCTTAGTGTGTTTGTGCATGAGCATGCACACACATAACCAAACAGAAAACTGTGATGGCAATTAGGTGAGACGTGGCAAGAAGTAAATTTTTTAAAAAATTGAGCATGAGTTCTCAGGCAAGATTTTGTGAGCATAGTGTTCTGTGTTAAGTGTCTATAATATATATTTGGAAAAGTTATTTTTGTAGTTTAGGGGAAGATAATGGTTTTGCCAAAGTTTCAGCCTAAAATCTGGATGACTCAGTAGATTATGCCATCTGTTAATTTAGATTTTACTTAGTGCCATCTTGGCACAAATTAAAAAGAAAAGATACAGCATTTTCATTACAGGACAATTTTTTAAAAATTTCTAAATACTATATTGCATTTAAGTTGTACTGATTCTCCAAAATGCTCACTGGTAATCTGCTTGAATTATAAATAGGACAGTGATATTGATTGTATTTAAGAATCAAGTAAATAACATGAATTCTATAACTGGAATATGTAAATAAGCCTTGACTCCAGAGTGTGTAAATTCTTATTTAATGCTGGTGTTCCCAAGGAGTGTTCTAGTGAATTGGTCCAGTTTTGTTTCTTGATGCTTTTCTCCTTCTGTTAAGAATGGAATGCAGCTAAGTTTGAACCCTGTGAAATGATAAGTCTTCCTGTGTCTTTTAAGAACATTGTTTGAACCAGTTAGGCACTACTGTGGGGCCCAAGTGTCCCCTCTAGTGGCAGTCTTGGGTGCCACACCTGTGTTTTCAACTCCTTAGTAAATGAAGATCCACAGACCTTCTAAAAAGGGACAGTTAACAGATATTTTAGGCTTTGGAGGCCATACAGTCTGGCACAAGTACCCAACTTGCCTTTGTAGCATGAAGTGGCCACAGGTGAGACACAAACAAAAGGGTGGCTGTGTTCCAAGGAAACTTTATGAATGCTGAATTTAAATTTCATATAATTTTCATGTCACAAAATGTCACTGTTTTGACTATCTCCCCCCAATCAAAAAAGATAAAAAGCATTCTTAGTTCCTGTGTTGTACAAAAACAGATGATGGGCCAGATTAAGTCCAGGGGCCATACTTGATGGTCCCTGTCTGGTTTTAAGATAATGACTGGTTTTACTGGATTACTTAAAACATGAAGGGAATGCCATTATGCTGTCTAACATAATTTATCTTTTTCTGGACTGAGCAGCCGAGGCACTGGTACGGTAAAGGCAGGAAGAAGTGTCTACTTTGTGGTACTTGAGTAAAGGCCAGTCTGCAGCCTTGTTTAGCATCTTATTTATCCCTTGGATTACTGGTGATATATACACATACATGTACACTGTGAAACTCTTGTTTTTCAAATTCTAGGTAAAAACACCATTGGTAACAAAATTATGAATACTTATTTACAAATAAGACATTTCCATTAGCATGACAGTTCATGATAAATTAAAAGTCAGCATAAAGGAATATGTGCAATTTTGCATAAGTAATAAAAACATTCAAACTATCAATGCCTTATAGCACTAATAAAGCAACCCGGCATTAGTTTTGACCTTAGAGTTTTTATTTTCTTTCCCTCATGTATCCTTGATGTTGCTGAGAAGAAACTGGAGATGGTGCAGCAGTGGAAAAGTCTGGTCATTCACAGGTGTATGCTCTTCAGGGTGCACACTTAATGTTTGCCTCAAACTTTGCTTTTGAAACCATCTATTGACCTACTGAAGATCAAAGTACAAATCTCTGTGTTTACTGATTTGGCAACTTTGCCTATGGAGTAATAATGTACTAGTAATCAGTACATTTTCATTTTGCTCCATATTTGTCATTCCATAAATGTTCCCAGTGATGTCATGTAAGGTGATATACATAAAAGTTTTCCAAATGGGTCCTTTGTTCTATTATACAGACAAATACACCACCACTTAATAAATAGAAATGCAGCAGCTTATCTCCACACAATAGCAGAGATTTTCTTACACAAGGCTGTGACTTCTCTTTAGTTCATAGAAAAACAGTTCCCTTTCTAGAGAGTGGAAAACTACCCTCACTTCACCAAGAAAGCCAAAAATTTGAAAACCAGAGAAATGTGCTCTTTGTACCTTTTCATCCCTCCCACAAGTGGGTAAACAGCAAAAAAAGAAAAGATGCATTTTAACATTCTAACTAGGAATGTGTACAACTGGTCACACATGGGGTGTTTTTTCATCTTTGCTGATTGTTACCAACTACTTCAATTTCACTTAGGTTGTGCTTTTATTCTTCTTTGGAATGGCGGTTCCAGGAATCATTAAATAGGATATGAACAAATGAGGATGCCAGACTTCTAGAAGTCAACACAGCTATCTACTGTAGTACAAGTCCAACCTGGAGGAAAGAAATGAAATAGTAAGAACAAATAAATTAATTGATAACATAATACAAAAGATCTGTGATTTTAAAAGCTATTTAGAATAATCCAAAGGGAAGCAAGGATGGAATTGTCTAGTTAGACTTACTTTGTTTACAAAGACTTTGTCAACATAACTTACCTTTTCAGAATCTGTTCCTGGACACCTCCAGTTGTACAAGTAATACTGCAAACTACCATCTCCTATACCAAACTTGAGTTTTTCCAAGAAGGTCTTATTTTCCATCAAATCTAGTGCATTGAATACATCAAATCCTTTCTGCCAAAGAAAGAAGGATTTAAAATTAAAACATCAAAGGACTATCTATAGAAATTATTGATACAACATTTAATTCCTCTACTAATAGCTTGGATATGCATTTACAATAGGGCTTAATGTCTGCAATGTATAGTATAGGTTAGGAAGACCATACAAAATTGTCTTAAAAAGCTAACAGTGAGTCAACAAGATCTTTCAAAATGCTGAATTAAAAAAAAAAAAAATGTGCTCTGATGGCTATCACTGACATAAAAATAACCTATTAAGATTTCAGAAAATACCATGTTCCTGATTCAGAAGGTAGCAGTTGTCTAGATGGTTCCATTTCCAGAATTATTAATTACTGGCCTAAGGCCTGACGTAAGTGAAGCTATTGCTAAGAGTTGTAAAGACTTTAAATAGCATGTTTGTCTTGGACTGATACTGGAAAGTAAGTTTAATATTTTAATGGTAAAAAATAAATTTCTTAAAAGTGTTAGATAGTAATACCTTGCAAAATGTAATATAGAAGGAATACCTAAATTTTAATTTCTACTTTAACTTATTGACCACTGAGGGAAAGTTGCTGAAAATGAGCAATCGGGATAATGTTGATTCAGAGACCAAAAGTAGCAAATTTATACAATATTTTCAATGATCTAATGCCAGAGAAATCAAGGAAGACATTTTTCAAGTACTGTTTCCAATTTCTCATGAGCAGTTATTTTCCCATATTCAATATGTATCATCAAAATGTATGTCAGCTGATTCAAATTTATTTTTAAAAGAAAGATATCTATTTAATAATTACCTGAGAATAATTTTTCTGGGAAAATAGAAAAATAATAAAAAGATATGTATTTTCAAGTTAATTAACATTCATAGGCTGCATCTTATATCCCTTATGAATTTTGTGTCTTCCTGTATAAGAGTTAAGTTTTCTAACTTATACAATATTTCGTTTTTGTTAAATTGAAATAAAATCAATGATGAAAACAGCCACTAATGTTTTAAAAGAAATACAGCAAAATTCTTCCATTGTCAATAGTGTGTATGGGGTTGGGGAGGGCATTGCATGAATTACATCTGGATGGAAGAAAACACCATGAGACGTTTTATATATTTTGGCATATACTCTTGAAGAACTAAATTGAACAAAAATGACTGAGTCACTCACCAATTTAGCTATAATGAGTGCATCGTTCATGAGGTCCAGCAGGGGTGTCTCTGTGTGAATGTTATAGAAGGAGTAGGCAGCTTTGAGGCTCTTATGAGCAGGGTGGTGCATGACTGTGGACGGAAGCGTGTAGAAGCTCAGGAAGTCAGTCAGTTTCCCACTGGAGCTCTAAAGGACAATGGTGATACCAGGTAAGTGTCTCCTTGAAAAAACTGCATGCAGCTAACTCTTTCACCATAATTTTCTGTCCAGACAAAAAGCAACAAGTGAGAATTATTTCTTGGCAGCCTATTTTGAGCCCCTTATATTATGCTGGGTGGTGGCCAAGAAGAGCAGGCAGTTGGAACCATAGCAGAAGTGCTAGTCAGTGATTTGCGTAAAGTTCTTAGAAAGCAAAAGGTCCTACCAGGAAAGTTTCCCTCAGGCTGACCGAAGAGTCAATGTTCTACATTATGAAGTAGTAATGAAAGATTTCATTTGCAGAAATGAAAGCTCTAGGTATTAGAAGGCTGCCATCTCCACTCTGAAACACATAGGCTGCCTCCAGGAGAACAACTTGGGAGCTGAGCTAGCCACTTTTTTCATGGAACACTACTTGAAAGTAAAACTGGCAAGATTATGGTTGTTCAGACTTGGTATATGGCATATTTTTTTGAAAATGAATAAGAACCTGTCAGTTCCAGAAAAAGAAAATGGCAGGATATATTGCCAATGATAAAATGTGAGCTTTCAGGTGTAAGTTAAATTTTGGGAAAAACTTGTATCCTTCACCATGAGTTACATTATAACCTTTTCTGATAACAAAGGTTGTGATATCCACACATGTGAGTTTTTGATACCACAAGATGAAATGTAACTTCAGTGAATCAGGGGCTGGGGTTGTGGCTCAGTGGTAGAGTGCTTGCCTAGCGTGTGAGGCACTGGGTTCGATTCTTAGCACCACGTAAACAAATTAAATAAACAAAATAAAGTTATAAAAAAATTCAGTGAATCAGTTTTTTTTTCCAAATAGCCATGTAAAATGTTAAAAACTCATATACGGATAAAAGATTCATTCAAAGGACAAGACAGCTTAATGGCAGAGCACCTGCTTAACATGCGAGAGGCCCAGGGTTCAAACCTCAGCACCAAAAAAAAAAAAAAACAAGGACAAGACAGACCAATGGATTCTAATGCAATAGAGGATAAAAAGCTTGCTAATAGTAGTATCTTCATGTGAAATATTTTCTTCACATACTTAACATATCACAATAGACTGAAAGCAAAAGCAGATAATAGGTTCCCAGTTGTCTTCTATTAAGTCAGACATTAACAAGATTTGCAAAAATGCAAATGGTACCATCTTTCACTAATTTTGTGGTTTGGAAAAATAGTTTTTCATACAAAATATGGTCATTAGATAGCATGTAATGAATTGATTATTATTAAATTGTTATGTGGAATAATATCAAATGTCTCAATTTTGAATAAATAAATATCTATAGATGTAATCCATAAAATAAAAGCTCTTTGAGGTCCTCAATAATTCTTCAGAGTAAAGGAGTCCTGAAACAAGAAAGTTTGAGATGAGCTGCCCTGAGAAACTCACATAGGTGCATAAAGATGACATTTTTTTTTTAAAAGCAAAGATGGCAACTCTTATGTTGCTTTGGAAATAAAAATTTAGAAACAGACTGCTCAGTTGTTCTTCAAAAATGTCCTTTGAGTCATATCTACCATGGCTCCCCTTCATTACAGCCTTAACTGAGTGTTATGGGTTGGATCTGGAATGTCCCCGCAAAGACTCATGTATTAAATGCTTGGTTTCCAAAGCAGCCATGTTCAGAGGTGAGGCTTTGAGAAAGTGATTGCATCATGAGGATTCTAACATCATCAGTGAATTAACCCATTAAGGGATTCATTATATAAAGGCATTATTGGGAGGTGGAAGAAGTTTTAGGAGGAAGAAATCACTAGGGGCAGGCCCTAGAAGGGCATATCTTATCCCCAACCCCTTGCTCTCTCTCTCTCTCTCTCTTTCCAACCACCATGTCCCTCCAACGCAATGTTCTGCCTTACCACAGGCCCAAAACAATGGAGCCAACAGACCATGACCTGAAACCTCTGAAATCATGAGCCAAAATAAAATTCTCCTCAGGTTAGTTGATTTTCTCAGATATTTTGTCACAGTGACAAAATGTTGACTAATACATTGGGCCTGTGATCCCATACTCAGGCAATATGTGACTGCACTAAGTAAACACTTATGTATACAACTAATGTAAACTAACCCCTGGAGTCACTTCTAACTGGCCCTCTCCACTCCAAGTATTTACAAGATTAAAAGCAACTCAATCCATTTCTACCAAAAGAGCTTCCAAGTGATTCATCTCAACAAGAATTTGGAAAATCTGGACTGTTACTTTTCCTTCCTTCCTTTCTTAAACAAGGATTAAATGGCTGAATCCATGGCATCTCAACCAAAGGCATTTCAGTTATTCCAAAACCAAAAGAATTAAGCCTTAGGATGCAGCCATCTGATTGAGGTCAACCAAAATAACCTTTGAAAAAGGAGAAAAGCAATTAATCACACAGATAACAACAGAAAAGCATTAATATGTAGTAAAAGTACACTCTAATCCAGAAATGGAAACTTAAGAAGAAAATGCAATTCCATCAAGATGAGCAGAAATCTAATCCAGAAGTACTGAGTCTTGGAGGAAGAAAGAAGAGACTGGTACTCTGTGCTCTTTATGGAAAAACAAACTTTATCATAAGTGGTGCATACTTCTTAGTACTACCTTATCACCTTATGTTTACCTCCACTACAAACGTGTCGATAATGTGTTCCTGGGGAAGGAACCAGTGGGCTACTTCCTCTTCATCCATCACTGGGGCTAAATGGAACTGCTTCAGGTAAGTGTTGATTAATTCTCGCACTGCTTTAATATCTTTTGGTTCCATGGGTCTCAAACCTGAAGTCTTGGTAACCTTGTTGGAGGGAAAAATAAGACAAATCCCAGAAGTTTAAATGTAAGAGGAGTAAAACTACTTTATGCCCTTTGTCTGCAGACCCAGAGAATCCACATCACACAGGAGCTTGTTAGAACAGCAGAATCTTGGCCCCATCCCAGACCCAATGTATTAGAAGCTGCAATTGAATAAGATTCCCTGGTGATTTGTATACATGTTAAAGTTTGAGAAGCACTGGGTTAAAATACATGCTAGGAAATGTTCTTCTTTCTATGTGGCAAGTCTTTGGTCAGTACTGCTCATGACCCAAAAAAATCAAAAGGAATGCTATGAATTGACTGATAAACTAATACCAAGAATTTTCACAGTCTGTATGACAGGGCACAACAACTGCCTGACTTCTGGGGTTTCTGCTTTAAAAATCACCAAATCTAACATTTTGAAAACACAGTTGAGAAACTTGTCTTATTCAACAGTTCATAAAAAAGATGTTGTGATTTTGTTTCCTGAAACAAAAACAATATAAGAGTAAATCATATTGGTCAGGATGGGAAGGCAAGAATTTTTTTTTAATTTATATATGACAGCGGAATGCATTACGATTCTTATTCCATATATCTCTAGTTGTATACAAGTATGTTCACACCATTCACATCTTCATACCTGTACTTTGGATAATAATGATCATCATATTTATTAATGATGGGAAGGCAAGAATTTTAATACAATATCTAGGTATTTGCTTTCTGTCTCCACCCTGCCAACCCTACTGGGGATCAAACCCAGGGCCTCACACATGCTAGGCAAGTAATCTACCACGGAGCTATATTCCAGCTCAATAGACAAGTATTTTCTAAAGGTGCAGGACTATCAAATACTGGGCCTGGATTTCAGGACATATCGTTTTATTAAAAGGTAACAGAGTAGGCATTTTAACACCACTGCAGAGCTTTATAATTTTAAAATGAAGCCATAGGAATAAAAAGCCTACAGGTCAGGACAGATCCCCATTTGATTTTGTTCAACTTTGGTTCTCAAAAACTCCCGTCATCACTCTGGTTCTCTAGAACTATCCACAGACACCCAGGCACTCAAGACTAGTCCTGAGAAAGCCCAACAACAACAACAACAACAAAAAAAAAAAAAAAACATTACAAAGTAAAAAATAGCCTACTTTTCCCCCAATAACTTGATTTCCCTTGCTTGGAGAAATATTGGTTAAATTTTAGGAAACAAGTAACAAAAATACTGCTTGTCCACCTTTCTGCCCTCAATGGTTTACATATATATATATTTTTTTTTCTTTCTGTGGTACTGGGGACTGAACCCAGGGCTTTACACAGCACTCTACCACTGAGCTATACCCCCAGCCCTGTAAATACTTTTAAAATAAAAGTTTCCTATAGAATAGATCATTATGATTCCTGCAGGTACCCAGGTAGAATCTCATGGGGTAAAATAGGTTTTTATCTTGAAGGTACCACTGATATATTGTTACTAGTTGTGCTGAGGTTTCAAGGTTTCAGTGACAGAGTGCTAATTAATTATTAATCAGCATGAAGAGAGAAGAATAGGAGATCCATGCTTATATTTACAGATCCAAAAGTTCTCAGCTGCATATTTACTCTGGGGCCCTTCAATGATGATTTATGTAATCTACACAGTACTGCAGCTAAAATGACATTTAATAATCTAAATTTAGAGAATTTGAATCCTTAACATTTAATGGACAATTCATATGTTTTGGTTTTTGTTGCTCTGAAAGCTGATGAGTCAGAAATATCCAGGTCCCAACTGAAATTTTAAAAATAAACATGTATTTCTAAATACTAGTTAAAAGACCAAAAGCACATATCTATTTACATAGATATGTAAACCATGGTCAAAATCATTTTCTGTTATGACACACACTTTCTTTGCTTGATTAAATAGCCATTCTTTTTCTTTTGTTACTGGTACAGTAACAAATAATATCAAGCAATTAGATTAATTAATGAAAGCAACAGGGTATATGACATCTATTAATAGAGAACATTCAGAAGGGAGAAATTTGCCAACTTCTTTCTGAAGCAAAATATTCTTTGGCACACATTTCTCACTGACTCAATATTCACACTGTGAAATCACTAAAGCAACACACCTTTAGTCCAGTGGCCATTCTTAAATAGCAGTTCTCAAACATTTCAGTCTCAGGACCTCTTGGTACTAGTAATTATTGAAAAGCTTTGATTATGTGGGTGATATATACCTACACTGACCCAATTAGAAATTAAACTGAGAACATTTAAAAACAAAAAACTTGACATAAGGAATATTCCATGTAGCGTCTGGAACACTTTTTAGTACATTTTTAAGAGGATGAAAGTAAATATGCAAATTATGTTTAAGTGTTATTATATAAACAGTGTTGATTTCATGGATTCAAATCCTAAGTCTAATCATCATTATGACATTGAAGGGTCCTTGGACTACACTGCTATCCTTTGGTCTCAGAGGGTAGTAAAATTTAAAGACTTAGTGAAACAGTGTTTGGGCAAATAAAGCATCATAACTTTGGCAATTTACAAGCATTTCAAAGAAATATTTACAGACACATTAAGGCAAAACAGAACAGAGCATACCAGCCATAAAAAGGGGGTGGGACTAGAAAATAGGGGAAAACGATTCAACTGTGCCAACCAGCAATGGCTTAAAAAAAAAAAAAAAAAACAATGGAAGAACAAAATATTTTTAAAATGTGAAATAAACCAACTCTAGCTATTATCTTCAGGAAGAAGTGGGAAGACTCAAGCTTTGATAAAACATTAAGTTTTTGTATAGTGAGAGAAAGTAAAGGGGCCATGTTTCCTAAGAGGTCAATGAAAAGTGAAGAGATGTTTCCAGTAACAGAAAATCTGATGTGTCAAATGAAAATCCTGTATCTGAGTCAGATGTACCTTCCAGGGTTCAATTAATATCCAGTACTCACTGGACTGTACATATATTGAAATCTGTGTAAAATCTGCTTACAAATACATAAGGAAATAAAGCCCTGAGCTCTGTTAGAAAACAATAATGCTTCCATTTGTCAAACTGAGTGGCTTAAGAGCCAACATTCCAGGGCAGATGCAAACAATGATTATGGTTATATGATTTAAAAAGGAGCAACCAGGATGTTCAACACTAAAAATCCATCTAATGCTACTAAACACAGAACACATGTTTTAGGACATGTCTTAGCAAGTATATCCTTCTTGTCGCACAAAATTAGACCCCTGGTAGATTAACCTGACTCCTGCTTTTTTTCTACTTCATATTGACCTTTATCTTCAAAGTCACACACACACACACACACACACACACACACACACACACGCTCACACACTATCTAATTTAGAAATATTCAACTCCAAATTAAAAAAAAAAAAAGAACCCTGAAGGGTAGGGAGATACGGAAAGATGGGTTTCATGGGGAAACCCAGTATGCTAGAGAACGGAAGCTACTGATGTGGGTACTTGGAGAGTCATGCATCTGCCTAGCAGATTTTGATCCCATCAATCTTGTGTTGCAACTTCCTCTCCCATGATGTGGGGATAATGACCTGATCTCCTATGACTGTTATGAATAATAAATGAGATTATAGAAGTTGAATTGCCCAGCACAATGCTGGCCCAATAAATGTCAACTGCACTATTCAGAAGTCCAGGAAAGATATAAAGCAAGTGCTATAAGCAGAAACAATATGAGAGATCAGAAAATGACACTTTCCCTATAAAGCAAGAATTGCTTTCAGTAAGGCTCTTCTTATGCTAAATGGTACAAAATTGTTCTTAATTGACTAGATTGCTAGCAGTGGTCTCATTAATCTGGTTTCTGGAGACAAAAAAGATCTCACATATGCTGCACTGTCCAGCTTTTACCAGAAGAGGCAGAGTGCCTCTGTTATTGGCACCTTCCAGTTTTTTTCTTTTTTGATACCAGGAATTGAACCCAGGGGTGCTCTCCCACTGAATTACATCTCAAGTCATTATTATTTTTATTCTTTAAAATTTTAAGGCAGGGTCTTCCTAAGTTGTCCAAGCTGGCCTTGAACTTGCAATCCTCCTGCCTCAGCCACCTGAGTCACTGGGATTACAGGTGTGCGCCCCGCTCAATTTTTCAACATCTGTACTTTCACCTCTTTTACCCACTTTACCCACTCTTCTTTTTCCATGTCTTAGAAGGGGGAAAGGAGACTGGAACATACCAATGAGAACTGTCTGGACTGTGGCAACTATCCTTCTCTGTGCTAACCTGCATTGTAATGACTATACAGTGTGGCCCATGATGACCCTGGCTGGTGCTTGTTGCCCCTAACAGGGGCATGTGAAAGGTGACAACATAAGCAACAGGGTCTAACAGAAGAAACACTAATGTCTGGGCTTGTATCTCAAACCATCCACTTACTGGTGATGTGCCCTTGCATGAGTGTCAACCTTTATAAGTCTGTTTTTTCATCTGGATAAGGAGAAAAGAAGAACTAACTTCAAAAAGTTGTGAAAACAAACTGAAAAATATATGTCAGAGCATACTATTAATTTCAATTTAATGGGGGGAAAAGGCAGTCTCTACAACCACATGGCTGCTGCACAAGCTAACTGAAGGGAGATGCCAAAGCCTAGTTTCACAACCAAGGCCTGACTTGTGATTTATCACCAACCAACCAAAACTTTGTTATATATGAAAAGACTGATATCTGTACCGAAATATAAAAGCCAAAAATACTTTTAGCATCTTAAATTCTAATCATTCTGAATAAACCAATGGCAAATAACAAAACTCCTTATTATTAAATCCATTTATGCAGCCTGTATGTAAGTGGATCTTTTCCCTACACAGAAGCTAGACTGCTTTAGCTTCAAAAGAGTGAAATTTGGGGAGACCAAAGTAGAAATTAGCTCCTAGTGAAAAAAAAAAATAGGCATGCTTAAAGTTTTTATTTCAATTCATACAGAGCAAAATTCAAACAAAAGATCCCATCTGCGGTGTATATATTCTAAGAGGGCACACAGTTTTCACACCTTCTGGAGTTCACAAGTTGTGTGATCTGCTCCTGCTGTGTGCAGGCAGGGACTAAGGTTTGCTTCTGTACAATAGAAATGGGACTTGGAACTTGTTTCTAACCAACAGCTGTGGGATTTGTGATTTGCTTTTCATCAATAGAAATGGCAGCGTTCATGAACTGATTATATAAAGTTCTAAATCCATCTAGCTGGCAGATTCCCTCTACAGACTCTCTGGCTTTCACTGGCTTTGGTCAATAAGCTTCCATGCTGTGCACTGCCCTATAGAGAAGATCAAGTGACCAAGAACTGAAGATGGCCTCTGACAGCCTACAAAGAAGGAGCTGAGGCCCAGTCAACCAGCCAGCAAAGAAGTCAATCCTGCCAACAACCATGGACGCCTGAAAGCAGGTCCTTCCTCAGTCAAGTTTCAGAGGAAACCCCAGTTCTGGCTAACACCTTGATGACAGCTTCATAAGAACCCAAAGAATGGGACATAGCTAAGTGGTACCTGGATCCCTGACCTGCAAAACCCATGCAAGAATAAATGTGCTGGGGTTGAGGTTGTAGCTCAGCAGTAGAGTGCTCGCCTAGCATGTGCGAGGCGCTGGGTTCGAGCCTCAGCACCACATAAAAATAAAGGTATTGTATCCGACTACAATTAAAAAAAATTAAAGAAAAAAAGAATAAATGTGCTGTCTTAAGCTGCTCTGTCTGTGACAGTCTTTTACAGAGTAAGTAATAAATCACACCATCTGAGTCCCCAATAAAGCAAAGGCACATTTAAATGTGCCTTACTTAACTTTAAATATGCTTAACTTTTCCTATTAAGAGAGACAACTTTTCATATTGGGAATTTGTTCTTTTAAAAAAAGAAGATAATGTAATGAAACATTATTCCCTCTCCCTTGGCCTCTTCTCTAAACTTGACTCCTCCACTCTATGGTATCAAGAAATCAGTGGCAACTTGAACTTTTCTTCCCCCTTACTTAACAGACCATAAATACCCAAATGCCAAAACTTAACTTGACTTCATTCAATCTCACCCCACTACAAACTGAAGATCTTAAAAAAATCTTTAAAAGAAAGGAAGAAAGAAAAAAAATCAAACAAATAAACTTGTATTTCCAAATGAACTCCCCTATTTTCCTAGTTCCTGAATTCTACGCAGTCTTTTTAGCTATATATTCCCTTTCACAGACACAGGTCCATTTTGAGACTGCTGCAATACTTCTTTCCTTTTAAAAGGTTCAATTGTTACAGCTTCAAAAACTGCAAATCATTCTTACTTACATCCGGAAGTCTGTAAAGCTTCATTGTTCTCTGTAATGTCATATTTCTACTCAAGTGAGAAAATTTCACTTCTACCAATTTTCTGGGGTTTAGGGATCGATGCCAGTATCTGGAATACAATAAAGGTTTTACAATCTAATTGATTTCTAACTCTATAGGTTTTTACTCTGCCTCAGCCTGGCTGCTCCATAAGCATTTACTAAATACTTATGCTGTGCCTGGCATAGTGCCGAGGCTGGCCCTCTTTGTCTGCAGTAATTTTCTTAGTCATTTTTTCATCTTTAAAATGTCTTGCATTCCTCTTTCTGTTCCTTTGAAGTTTGTTACCTTTTATTTCTTTCACTAAAGAAGAATCTTAAAACCTCAAGAAAAATATTAATTACACCCTGGTTTGCAAATGTTTAATGGCCACCACTGATTTTATCAAAGGCAAACTAACAGGTTTAAAAACATGAAACTATTTCTTCTAAATAAGTAGCTTTTTAGTTGGATACATTCCAAAGAAAACAACTTTTTTGAGAAACCAGTCTAAATTTCTTAAATGATTCCAATTTAGGTACTGGGATAAAGGATTTGTATTAAAATACATGTGAAGTCTTTTATCCTGTTTATCTTTGAATGCAATAATTTAATAGGTTATAGTACTTTTTCAGTTTTATCTTTTATAGTAAGTTTACTTAACATTTTTTCCTAGTTGAAGGTGATAACTCTTATGTTTTAGACACAGGTTGTTGACTGTCTTCTCGCTGGAGCAGTTCTTAAAAGCTTGATTAGAACTAATAAAGTCATAAAAACAGCATAAGCTTCTTTTTATTCTTAGAAAACAAGTACATCTTGGACTTTTCAACTGATGCTTATCAGATTTTTGGAATGGTTCAGTAGTGCTGCAAAGCACGGAAGAAAACTGAATTTAGGTGTGGAGAGAAAGCACAACAGTGGACACTGTTAGATCACAATGCCCTGGGTTTCTCCATACAAAGACAGCACTAGTCTTTTGAATGTAACAGAAAAAGAAATATAGATCCTGTATCAACGGCAGGGAAATGTTAAAGACTTTTTTAAAAAATCGCCAAGTGGCTGTATGATATACTGAGATGAATGGTCTCCATCTCTGCTACCAACAAACTACACAAACCCCAGTGAGCAAAATCCCTCACCTGAGGAGAGTAACACTTCTACCAAAATGGTGATGATGCTCAACAGGCTTGGTAAAGAGAAGACCTGGGGTAGGGATACAGTGCTACCATTACCTGCACGTGGCCACCGGCTTAGGAAGAACAACTCCTGCAGTATATACAGCCTGAAAGATTCCTTCCAGGTTCACTCTTCTAGTTATTTCTCGAATTAACACTGGGGCAACCCGTTTTGATCTCAATTTCTTATGAACACAAAGAAAGTTGATTTCTACCATTTTCTTCACACTAAGAAAGAAAGATGTTGAAAATTAGAGCCAACACAAGATGAACACATTTTACAATACAAGAAAATGCTCATAAAATTTCAAAGAATGTGGAAGACATCCTTTAACACAATACTTAAGAAAAATATTGCTTCATTTAGTTCTAGTTTCAAAAATTCAGATCAAAACACTATTTGCCTTATATCCCTGCCAAAATGATTATAACTCTAGGTCAGGGAAGCTCAATCCCTTTGTTCCAAATAAATTTTAACATTTTAGTCTTTTATAAGTTTTCATTTTAGAAAATGGTTCAGATATGCCTCAAAGTTTATCTGTTTTTCCTACAATGTATGCAATTATGACAATAATTGAGTCACCCTGGTACAGAATCTGATAAGATGTTACTTTGAAGCATGATACAAATCCCCAGGATCCCTGAGAAGGGCTTCAGCAGTCCAGAGCCAGTGCATTTCCACGCTGCAGTAAACCTTCTAGAGCTTCAATCCTGATCCCAGCTCTGCTTCCAAATATGTAAGCCTCTTGTTTGGCACACAATATTCCTTGAGATCACATGTTTTTATCAGTAAATAACCTAATACACTGAATGGTAAATAGACCTTTTACACATTAGGTCTTTGATTTTTATAGTTGGATCTTCAACTTTCTAGGTTAGATAACAAGAGCAAAGGGACAGAGGCTTATCCTATGGAGGAAAAGGTTGTGTGTTTCTGTTTTCTGTTTCTTTTGGTACCGAGATTAGACTTGGGGGTCACTCGACCACTGAGACACATCCCCAGCCCCATTTTGTATTTTATTTAGAGATAGGGTCTCACTGAGTTGCATAGCACCTCGCAGTTGCTGAGGCTGACTTTGAACTCAAGATTCTCCTGCCTCAGCCTCCTAGGCCACTGGGATTACATGTGTATGCCACTGTGCCAGGCTGGGAAAGGTTTTATCTCCCCTAAAACTTTTGATTTTTTTAAAAAATAAATCTTGGATGTCAGTTTATGGCTTTATTCATTCTGAAACATACATACATGTGTACATGTGTGTAAACAGGTACATAACAATGGGTACATGTATGAGATTGATAGAGAAAAGGAAAAATAAGAAAAGGGAAAGGAAAAGAAGGGAAGGGAGGAAGGAAAAAGGGGCAGATAGAGGGGTGGACAGAGTCTTGTCCTCCTCCTTTCTTTTTCCTTAAATATTTTTAGTTATATATGGACACAATACCTTTATTTTGTTTATTTATTTTTATGTGGTGCTGAGGATCAAACCCAGTGCCTCACATGTGCGACGCAAGCAATCTACCACTGAGCCACAACCCAAGCCCATCCTCTTTCTCCTTTTGGTTCACAGTCTAATCTTTCTTTTTTTGTTAATAATTAATGAACTTAACTTTAAGAGTTTTTAGGTTCACAGCAAAATTGAGTGGAGAATTCCCATACAGTCCCTGTCCTCACACACACACAACTTCCTCCACTATTGACAACTCACAATGAGTAATTTTTTAAAAATATTTTTTTAGTTGTAGATGGACATGATACCTTTATTTATTTATTCATTTATTTTTATGTGGTGCTAAGGATCAAACCCAGTGCCTCACATATGCCAGACAAGTGTACTACCGCTGAGCCACAACCTCAGCCCCCAATGAGTAATTTTTAAAAGTCTACTCTCATTGCAATTCTTGGGAAAGAAAAACAAAAGGTGACATGAACAGCTTTAAATGTACCTGTCATAAATGCGGATGTTTGCCGGGATAGCACTTATGAAACCTACAAGTTTTTTATTTGAAGACACTCTGACCCCGCAGTGCCACTGCAAGAGCCAGCCTGGGGGACGCAGAGCCCTGAAGTCAGAGAAGACAAGGAAAACAGGCACCAGTTAGTGTCCAAAAACACAGGAACAGACATGAGACCTCCCAATCTAACAGTCCAATCCATGACACCCTGATAGCAAGACATACCACAACAGGAATTCAGGTGAATAGTCGAAGCGAAACATGTTGTCGTCATCTTCTACATAATTCTCATTTAATAAGGTGTATAACTCCTTGAGCTAAAAGATATAATAAGCTTCCTATCTATGGTGCTCAGGACCAACGCAGAAGCAATTTGTGAATGCACATGTGGAACTAAAGAGTTTTACTCACCACTTCGGCATTACTCAAGTCTAAAGTGTCCCACATAAAACCCTGTGGCAAAGAATACGGTTCTTGACGTACATTGTCCTTATCTGGCTCAATTGCACCATGAGATGTTATGACTTCATCTGGAGAGAAAGACAAGAAGAAAAAAGGAGAAAATTACCAAAGCATTCCGACAACCTCACATGGTCAGCGACATAAACAAAATCAGATTTTGGATGCTGAGTTTAATACAGTCTAAAATATGCTATTATTTCAACTTCCTCTGGACTAAAGCAGGAAAGTCAACTGGTAGTGTGGAATAACTCTCACCTCACCAGTTAAATCAAAGGAGGAATCTTTTGTCACCCAATGACAAAGATGACCTTATGAAATGATAGTGATTTCGAAGCCTCATACTTAGGTTGTAGACTCACTACACAGCACCACTGTAAGCAACGTATCAGGTTTGATACGACAGCCTTAGAGCTGTTCTCCTCTTATACAATGAAGTTCCATAAACTGGGGAAGGGGTATGTGAGAGTGACCTGTGACCCCTCCCAACAGCAAAACCTAATTCAAAGACTGGTGATTTCTCTCCAGCTGTTCTACTAGCCATGTACTCCACACCATCAGTCTCTAGTGATTTCCATAATCCTCCTTCCAATTCATCCTCTGCAGCACATCCCTTGCAGCTGGAATAAAATGCAGGCTCTTTCTCATGCTGCCTCTTTGCTCCACTTCACCCCTCTCTGCCCCTTGCTCCCAGTGCTCTGGCCATACTGATTTCTCTCAGGTTTGCCCCAGCTCAGGGCCTTCCTGGTGCTTTTCCTCTACTAAGGCCCTGCCTTGGTCATCATGCAGATGGGCCTGGGACTTTGTCAGACAGATGTTTATGCATCATTTTCCCATGGCATCTCTCCCTGACTAAAGCCTTTTCCTGTCTAAAGTGCGTTCCTCACCCTGCCTGGCCACCATCTGTTTTGCCTTCGCACCACTAGTTCTGGAGCATGTGCTCCATACTCTGCCTGACACTTAATAACATTCAACTAACAACTGCTGAATGAAAGAACCTCAGGGCCTGGTTCTTCCCACCACAGAATCTTTCTGTAGGTAGAAATCACAGGGTTTATACCAGCTCCCCTCCTTTGCCTAATCCTTAACCTGGTTATTCTTGTTTTATCTCCACTTTGCCACCTCATCTCCAGAGGCTTCCTCAAGTCAGCCCAGGGGACCAAATTCCCAGTCCCTCCCATACAGAGTCCCTGACAACTGCTTGGTGATTGGCTCTCATGCTGTCTCTACAACCATCCCATGCAAACAGCTCCAAACAGCTGGGGTCAGCTCCTCTGGATGGGCAGAAATGGAGAGGCAGAATCTGCCTTCCAAATATCCTTCCCAACCTCAGGCACAAGAGTCTGACTTCCAAATGTCCTCCCACAACCTGGCTTCCTTCACCTTATGGCCTCTGAACTAAGGTGAGCACAAAGAGTCCTAGGAACTGAAGAACTATGCAAGGATTTGGCCAAGGGGCAAAATAGTGAAGGAAATATAGAAGGGCTTAGACAGTCAGGGCAGGATGGCAAGTGAGGAGGTCGGGGGCAGGGTCAGAACAAAGGAGCATGGAGAGGGTCTTCTGATGAGGTCAACTTCCTGGCTGATGAAAGTGTTCATGGACACAAGAGAAAAACAAAACAGACATGTGGACAGACAGGGCACAAATGAATAATAGTGAGGAGAGCTTGGACAGCGGAGGAAATAAGGAAGGAGGAAATTCCAGAGACCATAAAAAAAATAAGCCAAAACCCCCCTACTGGATTCCCAGCTCTGTCACTTTTGTCACTATCTCTGTCACTTTTGCAATAAACCTGCTGCTTGCTTACTACCTCTGTGTCCTGTTCTTCAGTTCTTTGCTGAACAGAGACAATGAACCCAGCACCTCCAGATGGTAACAATAAGATGAGCCCCTGGATTATCTTCCCAAAAAAAGGTGGCCTAGGGTTAGGTGGCTGGCTATAAGTGGCTGTCTTCTCTTTAGGATGGGAGGGTGGCTTGGTGAGTAGCATTCAGCTTAACCCAGTACTTTCAAGCCAGTAGACCTAGACCCCTTAGCCAAGGTTCATTCAACTGAATGCAATTAAGAATACTGTAAATTCATTTTAAAGAATCTCCCTCCATTAATAAACACGTTTCTAGAATCTGAAAGAAAAAGGGCAAGCAAAGATCATTTCCTTCTTCTTATTCTTCTTAATTTTTGTACCAGGGATAGAGCCCGTGGGTGTTCTACCACTGAACTATCTCCACAACCCTTTCAATTTTTCATTTTGAGACAGAGTCTTACTAACTTGCTCAGGCTGGCTTCAAATTTGTAATCCTCCCATCTTAGCTTCCCAAGTAGCTGGGATTATAGGCATGTGCCACCATGCCTGTATTTTTCTCTTCTGTTTTTGCAGTGCTGAAGGTTGAACCCAAGACCTCATGAATGCCAGGCAAGTGCTCTGTCACTGAGCCATATCCCAGCCCTTCTTTCTTTACCACTCAGAAGGTTGTGGCCTTTTAACCTGTTGGGTAAGAGTGGGTGGGAGAGGAGTGGCAGCTTTCAAAATTTTGAAAACTAATACTTGAATGCATAGGAAAGAATTGCTTCTTGATTTATATTTGAGAAAACGGACTATTTTGTACATAGCTGAGCTATTTAGCGTTCTGGCTGGCAATTCTTTATATGATATTGATTTAGAACCTGAACTCACAGTGCAGAAATAGTTATATGACAATTACTTTCATATACATAGTACAAAGTAGGAAATTTACATTGTGTATTTTTTAACATATTTATGGAATTTATAAACATCATCTTTTTTCCATAAAGGGAAAGAGGAACAATTAAATTTTGTTTATGATTACTTAACTGGTAAAAGTCTAATCGAAATCTAATAGAACAGGGAAGCATCAGGCGATGAGGCCCCATGGTAGTTTCGTAGTATACCAAAGTATGAGATCTTCACATTCATTACATGCTCTAATTCCCATGTGACACTAGGATGCTACTGAATTAGTAGTAATGCCCCTGGTGAGTGTTCAGAATCCTATCATTAAATGGTATAAAACTATACATTTTAATAAGATGTTATAGGGAAAACCTTTTGCATCTTACAAAATAAGCAAGGAGTGAAAATGCTAAGTTTATATTTACAAAAAACAACTCCATAACTGAGAAGAATAAAGGTGACAGGAGAATCACACACCATTTTATATATATAATATTATATATAATTTGGTATCATATTTCAAGTGCAGGGAAATCGGATATTGTAATAGGGATACAAGTCAAATAAAATCATTGTAATTAAAAACCAATGTCACTACCTAAAATTTATATTTTAAAAAGACAAATATTACTTCTATGTAAACTTTGAATCTATGGTATGGAGCAAATGATATAAATGAAGTAAAATCTATTTCATATTTTTGATTACTATTAATCAACCCTTGATTTGGGGGGAAGGGTGGGCATTGGAAGAGCTTACTTAGTTTAGGTACTGGCTGCGTATCCCAAAACTGGTATCTGCGTTTTGCAGCCTCGTCAATGTTCCTGGCAGGGCCCTGGCATGCGGAGAGTAGCTCCATTGCTCTCTGGATGTCCTGTAGCTTCTGCATGGGGATGGTGGGATTCTAGAACAGCAAAGACACAGAGACACAAAGTATGAGGAAGCTGCCGCTGCTCTTAAACCTGGGCAGACGCATGTTTATCTGCCTTAGAGACTGCCATCCCTAAACACTGCCCAACCTCCTCGAAGTCTGCTGGAGGCTGCGGCTCCAGGATCAGGATATAAGCAATGTATTTTGTTACAGGTAACAATAGTTCTGTAGTTCGAATGGGGCTCTGGCAGTTTGGGAAATCTAAAGTAAATGGAAGCATCCTTTGTTTCAGATTCCCACCCAACTGCAATGGTCCCACCACTGCTCCTCTGGGAGGAGAAACCAAAAGGGGTGACATGCAGTGCATGCATTACTGTCATACAGCAGCCAGGCAGCCACAAGCCACTGTCAGGTTTAATGCTCTGCAGTAGCAATGGGGGGACGGAGGAAACAACTTCCAGAACAGAAACTAGGCAGACAAGATCATTAAATTAAAAAAAAAAAAAAAAAGGAAGAAAAAGAAATCTGAAATTGGTGCTAAGCTGGGAAGGAGATGATTAAGAAAGGAACCCTTCATCACGTCCCTTCCTCCTGGACCACACGTAGCCCCTCTCCTAGCCCCTCACCTAGTCCTCTAGAGACAAGCCTGGTGACAGAAGGCCAATAGCTCCAAAAGCAACTCCAGTCCTCAGCACTTACCACCTGTCCCACCCCGCCCCCACAACTCAAGTGTTTAAAACTAGCCTCCTTTTTAGTAAAACATATTCTCAGTCTGTAAAATGTACAATACCTTTAAATTCTAAAGTTCCCTTCTCAAAGGCAGTATTCCTGTCATCTCCTGGGGACTCTCCAGCTCTTTTTGTAATTCCTCAAATGATGTGTTAATGAGAGGGCAATGTATAGGACTAAATGTGGAAATCAGGGACTTTTTCTCAATAAGCAAACTGAAAAGTTTCAGAATCCTGATAGCACTCAAGGAATATTTTTCACTGCAATTTTGAAGTAGTTAGAAGAAATTACAGAGCCTTTATTTTTGTTGTATGGACACAAAGAAAAAATGAGATTGACCCTCAGGGGTTTATAAACAGTACCTTTGGACTTCTGCTCAACTTTGAAATCTGTGGTCTGGAGCAAATCATTTTAACCTGGGAAGCTTATCCATTTGACACAGCACAAAACAGGTTTCATTACACAGAGACTATCCTGTGGCTGCTTTATTCACTGGTTCCTTAGGGTTCTTGATACTAAAATGATCCAGAAAACAAAGTCCTAAAGTCTAACTGGAGGCAGGTTTAGCACCTCCACTCAGAAGTCTAATGACATAACCCAGGATCGCCATGATTTTTGTAAGCTGTTCATCTTACATATTGATTGACATCTAAAATCATAAGGGCCATCTTAATGACACATAGAAATTTACCAAAGTATTTTTCCTGTTCTAATTTATTGTATTTTGGCATTATTCTTTTTGCTTGAGTCTCTTTTGATTTTCCAACATTATAAGTAATTGATTTCTAGGTAAACAAAATTTACATCCATTTGAACCCCAACAACACAATCTATTAAGAGACTATGACTTCAATGGGAATTGAGATCACAGCACATTTTGACTAACAATGTTTGAACATGCATTTAAATTTAGCTTAAAAGGCAAAGTAGAGACCAGGCTTACAAAAATATATTGACAAGGTCTACACTGAATTTGCCTTGATAATTTTTCTTTCCCAGTAGTCAAGTCTTCTAACACTAATTAATGCATCAAAAAGCAAATTATTTTGCAGCAAACATGAATTGGCACCTTTGTTCAAAAGAAGCCAATGATAATCCCAACTCTATGGGGAAGGTCTCACAGTGATCTATGTGCTACCTAGTTAGCATCATCAGGTTAACTAGAACCCATTAAATGAAATGACCATTTGTAAAATATTAACATCTTGATGATCACTATTAAAATGCTTTCTCTTTTGTTTTTTCTTTGTGGTAATGGGAATCAAACCCATACTAGGCAAGTATTCTACCACAGAGCTGCACCCCAGACCTATTTAAATGCTCTCTGAAAGTAGATTTAAGTAAGCACAAGTTTCAAATCCATGGTGACAAATCAATAAGGACAACTCAGCTATGATAAATTCCTTTTTTTGTTTTCTTTCCAGGGCCTAGCACATGCTAAGCAAGTGCTTTACCACTAAGCTATACTTCCAGCCCTATGACAAATTCTAACCCTACCCATTCACCTTCCATAAAAGCACAACCTGGGAAGAAAGATGAGAATATATATTAGTTCCATATTAGTGCCCACTATTAAACTCTTATGTAAAAGGCGAGTATTCCTCTTCTACATTTGCTCCATATGGAATACTAAGCATCAATGATATCTTTACCTATTATTTGCTAAATGTAATGTCTTGGGGAAAATGTCCAAGTCCTCCACCACTAAAATGGCTATAAGAAGGGGCTGGAGATATAGCTCTAGCATAGAGCACCTGCTTGGCATGCACAAGGCCCTAGTTCAATCCCCACCACGGAAGGAAGGAAGGAAGGAAGGAAGGGAGGGAGGGAGGGAGGGAGGGAGGGAGGGAACAAAGAAAGAGAGAGAATATTCCCCAAATGTAGTCCATTGTAAATTACAGTGTTATCTAGAGCTGGCATGAGCTGAAGGGGGAAAAGCTCCAGTTTTTGAAAAAAATACAACAGAGGAAAACCCACATTACAACACTGCTGACTTGCTCCTATTTAAAAATGAATAGAAACTCTCTACTAGACAATGCTTACAGTTCCTCCTGCCTTGTTTGGCTCCAGTTTTGCATCAGTGATCAAGGTGAGCAAAGGGCTCAGATTCACTAGGGTGGAGGGATGGGTGGAAGCTGATGGGATGGTAGAAGCAAAAGGAGATGCCACAACTGCAGGTAAGTGACGCTGCATTTATCTGACAAAGCAACATTTAGAAATGGGAGAAACATTTTGCAAGCTCATTGTGGTATTCTCCGATGAGTTACCTGGGAACTTATGGCTAGTGGACAGAGTATTTATTACCTGAGAAGCAAGTTGAAAAGCTAGGGAGGAAGACTCCACTTTCTTCTCTCCCCACAAAGTCAGTCAGGGCAAAACTGGGGCAAGTAATTTTCCTTCTCAGTGATTCCTGGTTTTGTGCAAAGCAGGTAATAATAACAACAACAAAAACAACAACAAACTACCCACAAGATTCATTACGTGACAGAATGTAAGCTCTGTATAAGAAAAAAATTAAACACAAAAAACCTGCATAATAGTAATACCTGCTACATATGCAGTGCTTTGTAATACAAACTCTTAAAAAAAAAAAATACCTCATTTTAACCTCATGACAGCTGTGAGTTGGGGAGAAGGAAACACATTTACAGATAAGGAAATAGTCTTAAGGTGTGATGGAGCCAGGGCCAAGCTCAAGGTCTTAGGACATTGCCATGACAGCACATACCACCTAGGAAAACTTATTTGGAGCTACAACCATCAAAATCATCTTGATTTCATTATACTTCTAATTCTGTTCCTTTAGGCTCTGGATGTTGTGTATCAAGAGGGCTCTGGGCTTCCTGGGAGCCCTCCATACACGGGCTGTGTTCTTAGCCAGCCTGAGGCGGGCTGGCTCCACAGACAGGGTGGCCACCATTTGCACCACCATACACCTATACTGCACTACCAACCCTCTGCTGTGCCAGCAGTCTACCAACAGGGGGCCCAGCTGGACAACTTCTGGTTTAGTCTAAAATGGGTGTTTCTTCAGGGAGAATGTGAGGAGATATTCCCCGCCCTTGACAACAGAATGAGAAATGGTCACTGACACTGTTCTGATTCAAAGTCAACATAAGACTTACCCATGGCTGTTCCCGCTGAAATCTGATGCCAGATGGTGTTGTGCTAGGCAGGTAATTAGACAGACACCCAGAAAAATTAAAATGTAAATATCTTCTGAACTAAAATAATCAAATTATTAAGTGTAATTTCAAAAAACCTTGCAAGCTCACACTGAGACTTTCTTCTACAACTACAATCTAAATACTAATGCACTGAGAAAGGGAAGGTACACACACACACACACACACACACACACAAAAGCACAGAAGTACCTCTTAGGTGGGTGTCAGAGTCAGTTTTAGGGAGGCTGTAAATACCTCCCAGCTACTATGCCATTCAAACAGTCACAGCAAAACGCTAACTACAGAGCATCTGGTCCAGCAGGGCGCTACACTGCACAAACCCACTCTCATCTGCATGAGGAACCACAGAGGTGAGAAGAAAACAGGCTCTCACTTTTGAAGGCGGCTGAATTTTAATCTCCTGGGAATCAGATGCAGAGTCGGACTTGGTGCCTCCAGAATTAGGCTTCTCTTTTTTCCTCTTCTGTTTCTTCTTTTTCTTTTTGGCTCCCAAATCCCCTGCAGGACTTCTGTAAGAAACGCCAGAAGGGTAAAACAAACCAAAGAAAGAAGTCATTATATAAAATTAAGTTGCATAAAATTAATCACTTAGAAAAACACACTAGAAAATAACTGTTAGGGTGTAAGTGGGATATGAAAGGTAGTCAGATTAAGATGTCAATGCAGAAAAATATTAGTCCATGATATCATCCTTTAGGTGCTTAGAAGTCACCTAAAGCAGGAAAGCTGCAGATATAAACCACATTTATAACTAAAATCAAATAGCTTTCATGGTTATCACTGCACTATTAATCTACTTCTTACTCAGTCTTTTAAGGGAGAGATACATGTGAAAAATTCCATTATAAACATCTCCTGGGGACAACAAAACACCAATCTTTTTTTCCCCCTCCTTCAGTGCTAGGAATCAAATCCCAGACCTTGCACATGATAGACCTAGAACTATAACCCTAGCCCACCAAACTACTCATCTTAACAGCAACAGAAATGAAAGAAACTTTTTCTTTAGATGATTATATTTTTCCTGATAAAGATTTTTACTAGGAGGGGTAACAATAAAAAACTCAATTGACAAAAACATTAACTGGTGAAACACTTCCAATAAGAACCCTTGTCATCTTATGTGTTGTCTTCTAAAAGAGCAAAAAGAAAAAAAGACACAAGGAGATTTAAATTTTCTATTTATTTGGACTTCTTACTCAGCCACCAAAAACCTGGAACATAAATTAAAATTTAGCATCAGCAATCATTATTACATCATTGCCCACCCCATGTAGGGAAAGTTGAAAACTTAGTTCTGATCTATTATTGTAAACCAATCTGCTTTATCTGTCCCTGCTTATTTCTTTCTGAATTTTTATTTAACTATCATATATATTCATCATATAAGACTCAAATGTTATTAATATGTATTAGGCATCTTATAATAGTCAAAGGCAATCAATAGTGTTTCTGGTATGTGCGGTTCAAAAATTGTCTTACTTCTCTAAGGATGTTCCTTGTTTTTACTATAATTTTTTAAACTTTTAAATTTTATTTATTTATTTTTTATGTGGTGTTGAGGATCAAACCCAGTGCCTCATATATGCTAGGCAAGCACCCTACCACGGAGCCACGAACCCAGCCCCTCACTATGAATAATTTTTTTTAAAAAATTTAATCTTTTTTTGCAGCGGGGATACTAGGGTTTGAACCCAGGAGCACTCAACTACTGAACCACATCCCCAGAACTATTTTGTATTTTTAGAGACAGGGACTCACTGAGTTGCTTAGTTCCTCGCCATTGCTGAGGCTGACTTTGAAACCGCAATCCTCCTGTTTCAACCTCCTGAGCTACTGGGGCAAAAATTTAATCTTAAACAAAAAAAAAAAATTTAGTTGTAGGTGAACACAATACCTTTATTTTATTTTTATGTGGTGCTGAGGATTGAACCCAGTGCCTTACACATGGCAGGCAAGTGCTCTACCACTGAGCTTCAATCATAGCCCCAAACATAAAATTTTGAAACGTGCATTCTCCCTCTTCCACTTTACAAGTATCTTGGAGTTCTTTCCACACCAGGACACCCTGAGCTACCTCATTTCTCTTCAGCAGCTGGCACACTCCACTATGGAGATAGACACATTTTATTGAGCCATTCCTAGGTTAAAAAGGCTGCTGCAAAAAAAAAAATATATATATATATATATATATTCAGGTACTTAACATATTTCTGCATTCAAGCTGGTATGTCCGAAGGTGGAAAGGCTAAGTGAAAGCGATTTCGGTTTTATTGTACAATTCAGACTCTTCCCTAAATAGTGTACCAAATAAAGTATACCCTAGCAACAGGAAATCAAACGGCGTCCATCCACCTGTGCCAGCCCTGCACTAGTGTCACTCCTCTCACTGTGAAGGGGGGACTTACTAGAGGTAGAAAACATCTCACAGATCTCACTGCACACTTAATTTGTTTTTTATTTAGTCAGGAGTGTGGTCATACATCTTCTTATATGTTTATTGGCCATTTACATTGTTTCATAAAATTGTTTGTTTATATCCCCTTTTTATTAGTTGTCTTTTAAAAGTGATTTGTAGGCATTCTTTAAAGTATCAGTAGCACCTACATTAAGTATCTACTTTGGGCACTTAATCTCGTTTAAGCCCCACCACAGTCCTAGGAGAGTAATATGACTTCATGCTTGGATCACATCACTTAGTTTGGGTCTGTTATTTAGATTCACGAATATTTTACTCATTTGTTTTTTAGTTTTAAGCCTTATTTATGGTATGTTTTAAAAATTTTTTATGTAATCTAATATTGAAAATGTTCCCCTTGTGGCTTCATGGCTTTTAAATCTTGCTTACAAAGATGTCTCTTATTCCAAATAGTGTAAATATCCTCATTTGCCTTTTTTTCCTCTATTATTTTAATTATTTTTGAGAAAAAGTTAGCTTTCCAACCCATTTGGAATAAAATGTGCCTGCTATATACCATGTCCCTGCTTTCCAAAAGTATATTATAAATACAAGAAAGTCCCATTAAAGCCGGCCATGGTGGCGCACACCTGTAATCCTAGCAGCTGGGGGGTGGTGGGCGCAGGGAGGGGTGGCTGAGGTAAGAGGATCATGAGTTCAAAGCAAGCCTCAGCAACTTAATGAGGCCCCAAGCAACTCAGCAAGACTCTGTCTCTAACTGAAATATAAAAAAGTGCTGGGGATGTGGCTCAGTGTTTAAGTGCCCCTGGGTTCAATCCACAGGCCAAGGGCCTGTGAAGAGTGCTGATGCCTTCACCCTGGGCCAAAGCATTTCAGAGCCATTATGCTTTCTCTTGCCCTCTCAGGTTTCCCTGCCAAGTCTTGAAGCCTTAAATCAAAATGAGTATTGACTGATGGCATCTCCTCCAGCCAAGACACCTGGGTAATAACTCACACACAGGAACCTGCCCACCCCCAGGTAGCATGAGAGGGAAACAGACCTTTGAGACTTAAGTAGCAGAACTGTGAGGTGGTTTTTACCACTTCATAACCAGGAGGACCCCAACTGATAGAGTGATAGCCTCAGTGCTCAATATCTAGGTTATAAAGGGCTCCCTTCCCACCAGTTATTCATGTGTTAAAGTAGTAAATTTTTAAATCTAAAATGGGTAATTCATTCCTCCATAAAATCAAAATATGAAATGTATGTTCAATAGTGAGAGGAAACTGTTTAAGACACAAGTATATGAGCTATAGATTCATATTTCCCTGTTCCTAATCCAAAATTAGAAAGCAGTGCTCATTTTTGAAGATACACTAAGACCTTGTCAAGTGGTGGTCTAAAAATAGTACTGCATTCTCACCCCGAAATGAGCATTTACTTTCATCAGTAGAATTAAATCTGTACTATCATGATGTTTATATTTAAAAATCATCTGGTGACTAAGGATGCCCATAAATATCTGACTAGTAATTGGGCTTAAACAAACATATCACAGCCAGGTATTGGAGCTAGAAGTCAGCTGTGGATATATACAACTTTGTATAGTCTCTGATTGAGATCAAGAATATTTTAGGCTTTCCTTCATGTTCCCAAGGTTGCCACCTTATAAATGATGAATTTGCTATCCTGTTATTGCATGACTTATGCAGTCATGTGTATGTTACATAAGAAATCTATTTCACACCTGCATCCCTTAGGTCTCTAATGCCTCAGATTACGATAGTAGTAACAAATGCCTGTTGAATGAATAAGTGAATGAATGAATGATTCTGACTCTTGAGGTGGATTAATCATACATTACCAGGCAGTGAAAAACCACAGAAAGCTACAATTTCCCACACTGTGATGGCAGAGCCTTTGCAACCTATTCTAAAGTATTTACTGAACATTACTATGAGCTGGGCCTCGGGTTGGGTGCACAGGGAGGCGGACATCATTGAGGACATTCCTGGGCTTCACAATCCAGGGAATTATCCCTCTTCTGCCCTCACCCACTATTTAATTGTTGCTGGTTAAGGCTTTCCTAGAAACCACTAGAAGCCCAGGACCATGCAGCTTTTCTTATAATACACCCAGTTTAAAATAGCTCCAAATTCCCGAGAAACTTTCTAAGAGAGGAATACAGAATGAAAGGTTGTGACTGGTTCAAATGCTTTGAAACACATGCCTGTCCAATTGAATCAAAATGCCTCCTTCAGGGGCTGGGGATGTGGCTCAAGCGGTAGCGTGCTCGCCTGGCATGCATGCGGCCTGGGTTCGATCCTCAGCACCACATACAAACAAAGATGTTGTCTCCACCGAAAACTAAAAAATAAATATTAAAAAATTCTATCTCTCTCTCTCTCTCTCACTCTCTCTCTCTTTAAAAAAAAAAAAATGCCTCCTTCAATGATCTAGAAAGAAGTCGTTGTCCTAGGTGGATTCATTTTTTTCTAAAGCAGATAAATTAAACTCATGGAAGCTGGAGTGAATACAGAGATAATTAAAAAATAAAAACACCAGACTATTTCACCAAAAATTCTTTAAATAAGATTACATCATCTATTCTATCATTTTTAGAACACTTGTATAATGAAATCTTCCATTAATTACACTTTGGGAGTTAATTACCATACTCACCAAAACTCCCTTACCAAAACTGTATTGCTAAAATTATACTTTTTTAAATTTTGGTATAATGGGGCAACTGTACTCATTTTTTGTTAACTAGTTCAAAAGGGATTCCTTGCCCTTCCCTTTCTCATCGGAACATTAAAATCAATTGGCAGGGAGCTACAAAAATGGACACTAAATGAGTCATCTCTCCTCTAACCTCCCAGACACATGCTCCAAACATTCCAGCCCTTGAATAAGGAAGAGCTACTGTTCCATTTCTCAGAAGTCTTAAGGAAACCAGAATTGGGAATAAGAGGTGACAAGGATACCACTTCACATTACTAGGATAACTGTAATAAAAAAGATAATGGGCTGGGTATGATGGTGCATACCTCTAATTCCAGCAATTCAGGAGGCTGGGGCAGGAGGAAGATCACAAGTTTGATACCAGC